TTCATAGCTTACAAATTTTGTTTTCATGTTTAAAAGAGACATATGCATTTTACATGATGAATATAAATAATGCATATTTGTCCTGACTGCATGTTTGCTGTCAACTCAGCATAACTGTTAATAGACAAAGCAATAAACCAGAACAGGATCATGATTTCAGAGCCTTAAATAAAGAGCATCATAAGGGCTGAAGACAGGAGCAGCAGGGTGACACCAGGTCCAGTTGGTACAGGACCGTTGCCAGTCAGTACGGCACCTTTTCCAGTCAGAATGGTACCGTTGCCAATCAGTACGGCACCTTTGCCAGTCAGAAAGGTACCGTTGCCAATCAGTACGGCACCTTTCCCAATCAGTACGGCAGTGTTGCGAGTCAGTAAGGCACCGTTGCACAAGTCCTTGTCACAGCACTGTATGGGAGAAATGCAATCTGCCTTTTTCCAGCAGCCCCTGTCAATCAGTCCTGTAAGAGCAAGAAAACCTCTCAATAGTATTCATAAATATGCTCTATAATGTCCACAAATAGCTCATACAACAAGTTAAATCTTTTTGCAAGTGATCAGTTCAAGCAGCACAGATTCTCATACATTTAAATTCTTACCTTCTGACTCAAAAGAACCACAACGGTCGAAACCATAAGGACAAGTTAGAACACCTGTGCAGGTATTGGGTTCAAATGTTGTATATTGGTAGCATCTCAATCCGGATGCTAAATGAAGAACCAAAAGAATTAAACATGATTATCAATAACAACAAAAAACAAGCTGAGAACTTGACAGATGTGTGTCTCTCATATTAAACTTACAAACAGCTTAAATACAAATTTTCAATTAAATAAAAAGAAAGTCTTAAAACCTTTAACAGTGAAAACATAAATTGTTTGTACTGTTGAACACAGGATTAAGACAGTCCCGTCCGAACTGTAAATACAGAACTCAGTACATTCAGTACATTTCTATATACATTTTTACAGAAATGAGTAAATCAATCAATCAATCAATCAATCAATCAATAAAAACAAGACTCAAAATTTGGTTTAAAATTTCAAAAAATATAAAATCCAGTTCAAATGTTTTGTAAACTAATAATGAGAGCTTTAAACAAATATATGACTTACAGCTTTGAATCAAGTCATAGAGATAATCCTAAACTTTAATAGAAAACCTGAATTGCTTATAAAACTTAATCTTTGTTTTATTTCCTCCTTTTTGTTAAATTCAAGAAATTCTTACCAACAGAAAATGTTACAAACAGGACAAGAACTCCGTAAAGCTTCATCATGAACGTAGGCTGTGCGAAGGAAAAACGTTTTCTTTCAGTCCTTTCTTCTTTCCTTCCTTTCCCTAAATAAGCCCGCTCCACAGGGACCTGAATATAAAGAGCTCTCAAATGACATCATGGCCCTCATAAAAACTCAGCATTACTTTCAGTTCTGACATGTGTTTATTCAGGATATTGGAATATGTCATTTAGAAAAAGAATTGTAAACATGTCAAAGTCAGTAAGTGTATATTAACAGATTTTCATTGTATTATATTTAAAAACAGTTCAAAGAAATAAAAAAGGACATATTTTTAGTATTCAAATTCAAAAATACTTTATTGATCTCGTCTTGGAAAATAAAACTTTTGCTTATTTACTGGGAAGAAATAAACAAGTGTTATACTTATGGAACTGATAACGGAGGTTTCAGTGAAGATGTTTTTTCTTCTCTTTCAAACCGGAACTCCTTTGAACCAGGTTTGATTTATGGACAGAGGTACAAATTAACTCAAGATGGGAGAAACTGAGAGAGAAATGGGTGTAGGCACCATGTACGTGACTGATAAGACATGAAAGGAGAACTGTATGTGTTAAGTTTCACTTCTTCCTTCTTCTCTCTTGCTTTTCTTTTCTCAGACGGTGATGTTTACTCTGATTTTCTAAAGAAAATATCTAAAGACAAATGTGCATTTCTCTGATTCTATGCATACCCCTTTATCAAAACGAATAAAGAATTTACCTAAACAATCCCAAAGGAAAACTAAAAGTTGTTGTAGCTCATTAATTCTTCAAATAGTTATTGTAGACAGTGATGGCTATTGACAGGAAAGATCTTCTGTAACAGTCTGTATTACAGTGATTTTGAAGAAGCCTCTGACTGAAGACACTCCCCCCGCCCCGCAATACAGTCTCACGAAGAAGATGGTCAGGGTTGTCCGCAGACATCCTCTGTGATGTCTCACCAGAGCTTTTCCTAGTGTGACACAGTTTAAAAACAAAACTTGGAAGCACAAAAACAGAACTTAAAAGAACACAACATTTCCTGTGATTCTGGCACAAACATGCTGCATCAATCATACTACTTTGAATATTGTTTATGCTACACACACTGTTATGTGATGACATTTTATTGTGCGTGCAGCTATAAAAGTTTTTCTAACACGTCATGTTCTGAACTCTGGATAAAAATAAGCTCAGCATTTAGCTTGTTATACTTTTTCCTTTTGGCATTGGTAGGATGACTTTTAGATGTTTATGTCAGAAAAATCATGAAGTTCTCTGAAGTTGTATTTCCTCCTTCAAAAATTTAAAGTTTCTTTCTTTAAACTTCTTACTTTAAGTTTTCCAAGACTTTAGACTTTAAAAGTTTAAAGTACTGTAACTTGGAAAGTTGCGATAAACTACTTAAATTATTTTACTGTCCAGATCAGACAGTAAAAAACCTTACTGTCTCATGTGGTAAAAACATATAAAAATTGTCAAGGTTAACAGGTTAATTTTTACTATATGTAACCTTGTCTGCTGTGCAGGTTAATGTTAAAGTTCTGCCAGATTAGAATTACACTGGTGAGTCAAACTGAATTTTTTTCTAGTTTTTAGAGTCGAAGATTATGTGGGGAAAAACTTTAATACCAAAAGCCATTTTTATATTTCAAAATAAAAGTGTAAAATGTTCAGCTGAGATTACATATTACTTTAAAAAATCTAATATTACAGCAGATAGTCCACTTAAACTGATGACCCTCCTTTTTTTTAACAGCCAAAACCGGAAATTGTTTCAAATTGTATCCAGTTTTGAAAGATGGAGATATTATTGCTGTGACAGAGGAGAAGAGAAACATTTCGGTTAAAATTTTCTTAAAGTTCACAGTTGTGATAATATAAGTACAGAGGAAAAACAGAGAAGAGTTTGTACAATCAATAAAAATGTTAATTTGTTGGAACAAATTGTAAGAACTAATGACTTATTAAATGGTCCCTTTTCTTTATTTGAACTAAATAATGTTAATAGGAAATAAAAGAATGATAATATTTCTTGTATTATGGTTATTGAGCTTAGTAATTCAACTTAAAAGGTTTTCCTGGAATTGTATAATAACACCTGGGAAATAGTTTTTTTTTAACCTATGGCATGGAAAGAAGCAATCATAGTTCCAAACCTAAAATCAGGTAAAGAGTGGTCAAACCAGCAAGTTATAGACATATTGCATTAAATTCACATATAACTACTTTGTTAAAAAGAGGAGATATTTATCAACATTTCAAAGTGGACTTAGAAAAGGTAGAAGCAGTATGGATCCTATTCTACGTTTAGAACATGAAATCAGAAAAAGGGTAAGTTAGTAAGGAGAGTGTGGTGGCTATCTTTTTTCATATGGAGGAAGCGGATATGGAAGGAAGGTTTTAAATAACATTTAAAAAGGTGGGAATTAGTGGATTCATTGTTTTATTGGATAAAATGTTTTTTACAAGATAGACCAGTACAAGTAAGAATAGGGCAACATTTTTCAGAAAGATTTTTGGTTGAAAATCTTTCTGAAAAAATTTTCAGAAGAAAATCTTTTCGCTTTACTTCCTTAGGGAAGTGGTTTGACGTACTTCCCTAAGGAAGTACACTATACTTTCTTAGGGAAGTATAGCGTACGGCAAACATATGTTTGACAGTTTTGGAGAGTGGAATGGGCTTTTCTTTATTTGCTGATGATGGAACAATCTGGAAAAGGGGTAAAAACTTAAATTGTATTGTTAAAAATATACAAGAAGCAATTAATAAAATGGAAGATTGGTCCTTTAAGTGGAGATTTAAAAATTCTATAGACAAAACTAAGAGTTTATTTATTTATTTATTCATTTATTTTTTACAAAGGAAGTGTTTGAAAATCTAAAATTGCAAATATATAATCATGATTTAAGTTTAAGCCATTTAAGTTTTTGGGTTTAAGGCTGGATGAACACCTTACTTGGAAAATTCATTTTCAAAAAGTAGTGGAAAAGTGTAAGAGAGTTTTAAATGTAATGAGGTGTTTGGTGGGGAGTGAGTGGGATACTGAGAGAAAAACATTGAAAGCAATACACGGGTTTAGTACGGTCTGTATTTGATTATGCCAGCATAGCCATCATACATGTTAAGAAATTTTAAAACCCTGGGAAAAAGAAAAAAAGAAATGAACCGTTTCATGCATGAATTATGATCCTTTGTGTCAGGATTTTTTTCCAAAATGTTTTTTGATTTTCTTAAGGCATAAAAAAGGTAGGAAAAAAATTTAGTAAAAAGTAAAAAAAAAAAAATTTTTAGGTGATCAATTGTAAGTTTCTCCAAATACAAAGTTGTTATTTGAAAAATATATCAGTAGTATTGTTCTTTAGGGGTTATCTGATGTCACAATATTTTTTTTACCTGCAAGAGTCGTCTACAGTAGAAGGAGGGACCGGGTCGGTTGCAATGCTTTTATTATCTGTCGGCCATATTGGATTTAACAAAAATAATTTCTTGCATTTGCAGCTGATGGCCAGTAGTTGATAGTGTATTTTATGATGCATTGGTGTAGAAAGGCAGAAAAATTATATCCAAATTACGTTTTAGCAAACTTACAGTTAAATACACAAGATATTTTAAATAATCTTTTCAATTCTGAATATTTTTGTTCTTTACTGAAAAACCTTAAGAAGACGAAATTGATAGGATACAGAGTTTATACGTAGTATACACACTCCACTCCAGTAGATGACGGTAATGCACATCAATACGTTGCGGCGTCATTTTACGCGCCTGGGTGACGTCAGCTCCTGCGCCGCTATGTTTTGAAAAGCCGGTGGAGCTTCAACTACTTCGTTATGACCGGTTTTATGCAGGTTTTTAAAACATTTCGGTTAAAAAAAGAAATGTAAACATGCCAAAGTCTGTGAAGAAGCCCTGCACTACTCAGACCTCCATCAGCAGGTACTTTGGAGGACTGAGCAGCAGCAGCAGCAGACCTCAGTGTGGGATTAAACCAAATCCTGCAGAGCATCGGCTCTCAAGAGGAAAGGTGAGGTCTGCTACTTAACTCATTTCATATCCGACATGTCATCTGTGGTTTGCTTTATGCAACTCTTCCAGAATTTAGTTCCTCGGAAAGTATAATGTCACACTAAGAAAGGTTTTTAAACCACAGCTCTTAATTCATGGGGATTTTGTGACCTCTGCTCTATCAGCACTCAGTCATTGGAGTCCTCCACTATTATGGGTTGAAAAAAAGTCACAGCTAAAGGAATCATGTATTGAAATATTGCTGTGTCCAGTTATATTAATTGGACGTTGAGAGGAAGGAAGAAGTGTGATAGACAAAGATGCAAGTGCAATAGGTATAATTGAACCTTTATTGGAGGACTTTGAATCACAGTCCACAGAAGCCTTGATGTTTGAATATTGTATTTTATTCAGACATCAAGGTAACAGAGTCTGGAGGAAGAGTGGAGAGTAATCAAAGTTGCTTCAGGTACTGGTTGAAGTTTTCACAGTGTGAAATTTAGGGTGCCATGTCATCTTCAGAGCAGCCATTTGCAGGAACTTTTAAAATATTTCATCTTTCGTCCTGCTGACAAGCTTTCTGGAGTTGCTGATTTAATTTTCCAACAAAACTTGGCATCTGTCCACATTGCTAAGGGAATACTACCTGCTGGTGTTACTCTCCTTTTACTGATAAGCAAACTGTACTGACCTGTAACCCAAGCAGAATGTCACAGACACCAGACCCAACAGTGCAGATGAGCTGAAGGCAACCTGGATTAATGAATGAATGGATAAATTTATTAATCAAAACCTCAGCAAAGTCACAGACTGCTTGCCTCCAATCACTGATTCACCAATTCATGCAAAAAGGGACCCAGCAAAGTACTGAAGGCTCATACTTTACAGTAGAATAATATACATTTCCACACATTTCTGCTGTTTCTTATTGGTTTTAGGTAAAGGTATACTTTTGTGATAAACCACATTTAGGGCTTTAATTAGCTGTTAAACATTATCATCAAAATTATAATAAAAACAATCACTTTAAATATTTCACTGTTTCTCCAAATCAAAATTTTTGAGTTTC